AGAAAAAATTGAAATTAAAAATTTTAAAAATTTAATTAACTATAATAGTTCAATTGACATATTATTTTAAGATTGAAGTTTTTATAAGTAAAACTGTATAGATATAATATACACAAATTACTGTATATGACTTCAATAAGTTTTTTTTTATAATTTGGGTTTATTAATAAAAATATTTGTATATTTAGACAAATGCTGCAATTAAAATTATTGTCAGGAATGATACATCGTTAAATAACAGCTGATGCAAAGTTGGCTGATACTATTATACGTAAGTTGACCCAATAATCAAGTTATGATACGAAGATTACACGTAATTTGTCATGCTTTAAATTTGTCAATTGACACTTGTAGTCAGATGCCTCATCAGTGAATTGAATACGTAAGAAATTGTTTTAACATCAAGTTTATAAGTTTCAAAATTTATTGCTGCAAAATGCCATATAATCAAATCAAATTAGTTTTTTTTTATTTAAACTCAGATCCTATCGCAATATTAGGTCCTGGTTACTTCCATCTTATGACCGTATAATTTAATAAAGCCATTACATACTTATATCATTTATAAATAAATTTTAAAAAATACGCATAATAATTTCTTGTAGAATACATTCTTTGAATCAATATGTAAATTCTTATGTGACTTAAGACATGTAATAATAAAGTAAAATCACATTTTACAATTTCAAGAATTTTAACCATAAAGTTTTTTAAGTAAGAAATTTAGGCTTTTATAATTTTAAACTTAAATAAGTTTGAATCTTAATAAAGTTGATAGAGCATATTAAAATATAATTTTGCATAAGAGGATACAAAGTAAGATGAAATGCTTTATCACGAAAGAACTTAGAATTTGTCGTTATGAGCATGAATATTATTAAGAAAATATTTAAATTGTTGTTGTTGAGAGTCAGTTGATGTTGAATTTTGGAATAACAAACTTTGAGAAGACGAATTTGAATTAGAATAATAAATAGGGTCAGAATAATTTGGTTGTTCTTGTGAATTTGTCAATGGCATATCAAAAAAAAACTGGGTGAAATTTTCATCATCAGTCGACGTTGAAATTTGCAAGGTTTGGGATGATAAGGGTAATAATCTGTATCGAGAGGCGTCAACACGGCATTGTCGATTAAGTATAAATTATCAGTGTTTTGCGTGTTAGACATGGTATGGTTTAACAAATAATGATAATGTTGAGGGGAACCCATGGGGTCTGGATACTCAAGCTGTTGTTGTGGACCATTTAGTAAACTACTCAATTTGTAGGTTTTGGAGAATATTTCAAGATTTTCACCGTCAGTTGTCATCGAAGAATCATTTCATTTCCTAGTTCTACATTTCCTTTCTTGTGGTCTCAGTGGACAATATCTATATTCCAGATATTTTTTCATATGTTCCTGTTTAGCTGTATCAGCCATTTTTTGGAATTTTAAACGAACTTCTGGCAGTTCTTTATGCCACATTCTACCAGTTTCTTTAGAAACTTCATTATCAGTGATGCCTTTTTTTTAGCCACAAGTTCTGGCTGTTTTTCTCTTCTATAAAGAATGAAAGCATTCGGAGGCCTTGAAGGTTTCT